TAACAGAAATGTGTGATACAAAGTGCATTAAATGAAATACACGTGTAATAATTAACAGTGCATTAAATCAAATAATTGAATTGGAGGGTATGCATCAATATTTATGGACAGCATATTTTGGATGGATAAATATGTTAAACGATTTTTATAGTTCTTTACAGCTCATATGGATTCTGAAATGATTTAGAAATAAAATTCAGAAAATAATCATTAAATATTAATTTATGGGAGAGAAATAATATTTATTCATATTTATTTCCATGATAATCGCAGAAACTTACATCAAGGGTGACAGTAATGTGTGTTAAGATAAAAATAGATTGATGTTTACTTTCTGATGGAAAAAAAAACAAAACAGATCAACTGTCAAAAAGTAATGACAAAAGTTTAACAATTTACAGTCAATTAATAAAAAAAGCCTGCATAAACAAAGCAGACAAAACCTCTTCATTGAAATTTCCTTGATGTCGTAATCATAAACAGTCTTCTTCACAGTTCATAAAAATATTTTTGATAGCTCTAAAGAGAAAAATTATCTAAAAGAAATTAAAAAGAATAAGAAATCTGATTACACACCCCATTGTGATTACATGATTATGTCAATGATCAATTAGAACAAGCAAATAAAAATGGCATATAAGTAAAATAAATTCCTATTTAAATACAATTTATTAAATATTTAGAATCACCTACACTAACCAAGTCACCAGACTAAACTACTCCAAATTTTGTAAAATAAAACAAATTTTAAACATTTAAATATTGGTAAATGTTTTTGTAATATAAAACAATTTTTTTTTTAAATTATAAAAATGCAGTAGCTTAATAGTACTAAAATTGTGCTCTCTAATTAACATTGCCTTGATGGAAACTTTCAGGAATGTTTAAATTAACAGTATTACATCCTAAGGGTTCATACGTTTGGCAACCATATTGGGTTATATTAGAAGAGGTTCCTCTGCTATTATTAGGGTAAAATCCAAGAAAACCACTATTCTGGGAAAAATGATCAGATAATCCAAATAATAGGAATAAATTCCTATTGGGATAGGAATATGAAGCGTCCATCAGGAACAGTGTGGCAAAAATTGATTGAATCATCTAGTTCAGCCTCTGACTTGGACATCTCTACGGATCAATAGTTTGAGTTAGTTTTGAATAGTTTGCATAATTACATATTTAATAAAAAAATTATTTCAATAAAAAGTTAAATTAAATACAATAAACACAGAGTTATATAATTCATTTAAGAATAAAAGTTCTTCATTAAAACATCATATTTAACTCTTAAGCAATAGTGGAACTGTTGATGGCTTTTTGAAAAACCCTGTAAAATAAGATAACCATTCATAAAATTGATTTTGTTTAAGTAAAATAAATAGTGATTGTCAAATGTATCAGTTATAAGTAAGAAATTATAATTTTGATATGTTTTAAGCACAATTCAACATATTATAGAATATGCAGTTTAAATATTAAAAAAAATATATTTCAGTTGTGTACTTCTCAATGAAGTAGTAGGTGGGTAACATTGGTTAAAAAAAAAACTAGATTAGTTAAATTTACATGCTTAAACTGCAATCATATTAAAGAGAGGTGTCATTGTGAAACATTTTTCTTTACAGTGAGAAGAAAGTAAGACCAATAGACGCTACAAATGCAAAGTATGGCACGTTGGAACATTCTAACATATAAAACCAAGATACTAACCATGAAGAAATTTGAAATTTTTCAGAAATATACGTTTTAAATTTATTGTGATTAAATTCTAAAGTTGAGAAAGAACCGATTTTGAATTTAATTTTAAGGAAGATTTATTGCAAAAAATCACATTAGTATTTATCTCAGAAAATAAAGATGAATTAGAAACAAATATACATATGCACTATAAGGTTAGAACTTTATTAATGATAAATTTTGTTCTTATTCTTTATGATTGTTGAAATATAAAGTTATTTTACACATGGCATATATACTAGTGATTCCAATCTTGGAACAACAAGACTTTCAAGTACCTGGGTTTTTTTTTTTTTTTTTTACTAAAAGCCTGTCCCCAGGGGTTATTAATGAGTTTTAAAAATGCACATAAAAAATAAATATTTAAGATAAAATTAGGTTAGTAATTGAATCAGCTTTAAAATTCAACTAAGGAATTAAAACCAAAATTTCTACATCAATTCAATTCAAAATGTCTATTTTCTCTTTCTGCTATTAATATAGAGGAAAAAAATTTTTTGATAAGTTTAACATTTCCTACATAAATCTGCTACCACAGTAATTTTTTATCTCTTTTCTTTGAAGATAGAGAATTACATGCCCCAAGAATGCAGTTTCCTTTTTTCTCACATCTACCCTGCAATTTTCAGCTCATTCAATATGCTATAAGGTGCAAGCAGAATCACTGTGTACTATATGTAATAAATTACCCATACTTAATATATAAAGCCAAATACAATACTCAATGCAACTTAAAGCAGCTTTCAAATAATGCACAAAATTCAAATTAAAATGTTTTTTTTTTAATAAACATTACGGAATATTTTCATTTAATAACAAACATTTTCAACTGCTAACAAAATTATATATATATATATATATACAGGGCATGTGCTAAGGATTTTAAATTATAAGTCAGTAAATAAGCCTATTTTACAGTAGTTTGTTTCAGATTTAAATTTGTTAAACAGTGTATCTACTGAAAATTACTGTTATCTAATGAAAAATTATTTTTTAGAAAAATTCATTTTGACGTAATTTTGGAGGATAGTATATATTTTTCTTTTCAGTGGGAAAAATCATTCACCAAAACACAATTATATTCGCTTAATTTGTGATTTTATCGCATTTAGCGAGGTGACAAATGCTTAGCAGGGGCCCTATTACATTTATTTCAAACAAACTGTTATATTAGTACATTATATTAGTATATATAATAGTACATTTTTTTAAATCTTAAATTAATCTATCTTTTATTACTACTGCAAAATATAAAAAAACAATAGCTTAATAATAATATATATGGGCAGATCTCTAAAACCTTTAACTTTTGATAGTAAAAAAAATAATAAAAATAATAGGCACACTATTTTTACACCTCTAGAATTGTTTGAAAATGTATAAAATATCAGAAAATAATCGCGAACTTCGAAAATTTTGATGCCCTTATAAGTATAAACAAAAAATTAAAATTTTTGAACTAATTTTTCTAGGTTTATAATCACAAACTGTCATTCGGTGAGGTTACAGTTACGATGTCAAGACCGTAATCAGGCACAGATCTAAAAAGTAAATGTTAAAAATCAAAATTTTGATCACACGTTTGTCACTGCCTAATTTATTTTCTGTGTTGTGTGCATCGCATTGCGTTGCATCTGGGTAAAGTTATCTATCTATTCTCTAGGTTGTCCATATCTTAACCCTGTCAAACCCTAACCTCAGGATTAATTAATTGAATTTAACATATCAGAACTTAGTTTTTTCCCTATGTTTTACTAATTGAATATATTTTTTGACTAAAAATAATTAAAGTAAGCCTTTTTATACATTTTATAACAATTTAAACTAATATTAAAATTTTTCAATTCATTTATGATACTAATAATTTTTGATGAAAAATAAAGGGTAAATATGGATGAAATTATAAAAAAGAAAAAAATTGCTCAATAAAAGAAAAATAGGTTCAATAAGTTTATATGTTTATTAAATAAATGACACTTTTGTCGTTTTTATGATTTTTAATTAAATGTAAATAAACTTAGAAAAATTAGTTCAAAAAATTAATTTTTTTTTATACTTACAAGGGCATCAAAATTTTCGATGTTTTCGATTATTTTCTGATATTTAATACATTTTCAAACAATTCTGGAGGTGTAAAAATAGTGTGCCCATTATTTTTTATTATTTATTATCAAAAGTTAAAGGTTTTAGAGATCTGCCCATACATAGATTATATTATGTTAATAAGAGTATAACTTAGAAAAGTTTATTGATATGTATGTTTAAGGAGAGGCTAAAATATTATAGAATCATTTTAATAACCATTGTATAAAAGCAATATAAAAGCAAAAACAAAAGTTAGGTCAAAAAGGTCATTTTTTTTTCCTAAATGCTGGCTCATATAAAAATTTTAATGTTAACTCTGGCAACACAAGACTTTGTGATAATATTTGACACAGAGGTACCCTCGTCTTATGGATTGGGTTCCTAATTGAAAATGTACTTAGTAGAAACATTAAATGCCCCACATTTAATACAGGGATTGGCTATTCAATGCTTGCAATACATTGAAATAAAATGGCTTTGAACAGAATTGGAAAAAAGCCGCCTTTTACTGAGAAAAAAAAGTTAAGGCAACTGGTTTTTAATTTTTATGAAAAAAGCATGCTTTTTTTATTTTATTATAAATTATGAATCAGATGTCTATTGAAACAGAAAACTAAATTGTCTTAATCAATATGCAAATTCAATATAAGTAAACAACCAAACGTTTCTTTATTTCATATAACAGAACTATAAGTTAAACAATTTCTATGAATTTAGAGTTTCCAATCAATTTAATTTCCAATTAAAATTATTACTTGAAATCATTCTCAAGTTAAAAGTTATAGTTCCAAACGCGAAATGGTACTTACTGCTCCAAACATCTGATTACATCACTGTAACAAATTATTAATATGTAATAACAATTTCACTCAGTTTTAGAAGAAAAAATATTGTTTCAGTAAAAGCCAGCTTTTGTTTCCATACAGGCCGGTTTCTTTTAAACCAAAGAAACTGGACCAGCTACTTTTGGCATAGCTAAAATGGAATGAAAATTTGAATTCCCCGACATGGAATAAAAATTTGAAACGTTGTTACCTAAGCAACACTAATGGCAATAGAATAAATCTTGTAAAAGGGTATAAAAAAAGGCATATGATATAACATAGAATCCATCAAGATTTATATAAAATTTTACTTATTTACACAAACAAAATATATAAAAAACTAAAACTACAAAATAGAAATAAAAAAATTTTTATTAAAATTTTCAGGAATGCTATCAACATACTTGAGATCAATAAAATTTTAAGCACTGAAATCATCTCACACTCTGCAGCTCATAAAAGAATTAAATGCATAATAAATGCTACTTATAAGTCAGGAGCAAAAAAAGGCATTTTAAATCTTTTAGCCATGAAGCAGAAAAGTTAACTATCAACATTAAGAAGTATGCAAAGTCTAATAACTACTGCCTCAATAAGACAAAAAATGCTTAAGATTCAGACATGCTATTTTGAAACAAAAATCTGAAGTTAGTGCAATAACATAATTTGCAGAAACATGTTTGCCAAATTATAAATCCAACTACTATATTAACTACAAAATAAACTATAGTTAAAAATTAAAACTAAAAGGAATCATACTCAGTAATTATACTCTTAATTTAGACTCTTTTGTTAGTTCTTTGTTATTACTTATTGAACTTTCAATTGGAATCATTTCTCACTAATCTGATGAATTATAATTTTATATAAAATTGTAATTTGGTTCCATATTTATTTACTTAAGATTTTAAATTAAAGTGTTTCACTGACGTCAAAAGCAGCTAAACATTAATAACAAAAAATGTGTTAAAAATTCTTTAACTTTTTTTAAAAAATTAATCTCCATTATACAAGATTTAATTTCCGCCTCTAAAAATAATGAAATATGTATACGACTCAATTTTAGTTTATGAAATGTCATCAAAAAAAATTTAATCTAATTTCTTGAATTTATTTGAAATTTTAAAATTTCAAAAACAAATAGTATAGTATAGATAAAATATTTCAATTATTTTCTGTACATTGTTGCTGGTACCCCAGTTCAACATAGATATTTTATTTTCCAGATCAATTTATTTTTAGAGTTGTTAATTTAGTTGTTTCAATTAAAAACAAAAATAAATAAATAAAATTTTAAAAAACGTAACTCTATAGATTTGCAGAAAAGTGGCAAGTTTGCTGAAAGATTATGAAAAATCACAGATTGGCTTGTAGCACTTAAAAATTATTTTTAACAAGAGTAAAGGTACAAAATTTTAGAATTTGTAAATTTTAATTCTGCTTCCTCAATACATAACTTCAGTTAGAATTGGTCTATTGAGGTTTTAAGTCAATCAACAAAATCTGTTTTATTTATAATTTTTTTTATTTTATTTATTTATTTGCATTTTAAGCATTGCAGGCTAATATTCCGAAATTTCAGCAGATTGAGGCAGCAAAATATACTAAAGCAGATAGTAAATACTTCTTAATAGTACTGATTGGCAACTTTTCTGCACTATTTAGAAAAGATTTAAGGTATTTTCGAACCACCCTACTGCTTATAACTATTAATAAAATCTATAAGTACTAATAAACAAAAGCTTAACTATCAAATAAATTACTATCATAGAGCAACTTTGAATAACATAAATATTAATATTCTCAACATTCACCACAACAGTGACTATATATATTTTCATGATGCATAGAAGACCTAATTCTTGTGTTAAACATCACACTTTGAGAACATCAGAGTTGAAGATGGACGCATTCAAACACCAATTATGAATTTTAAAAAACACAACACTCAAGTTCAGTGGATAGTGAGAGATTCAACATAAGCTTTGTAGACAACACTGTACATGCTACGACATTCATTTGCACATCCTGGAAATATTCTCTCAAAATCGAATCTAAAAAATATCAAGAAAAAGTTCATTTATAAAAAAATTCGGAAGAAAAGAAGATTTCAAATAACTTTTAAAAAATATGCAATAAAAAGATAAATGCTTTGGTAGCTGAAGATGCAAAATTTCTAAAAACAGCTACATAAGTTTCAAACAACTAAATATTGCTATTAAAACATTGATAGAAGAAACAGTAAAAACTAAATTATCCGATTTTACACTAGAGCATTATTTTCAGTGCACACTCATCAATAGCACCACAGCCCAAGGTGAGGTCTTGCCATCTATGGAATATTTCTTCATGCAGTTTTCTTTGTCAGAAGATTTTTCCAATTCAACACCTTGATAGTTATAAAATCTGTTTTTGCCAACAAAGTTATAAACGTCCTCTGGCTCTACTACAAATTAGTTTATGGTTCAGTGTACTGCATACCATTTGAAGAGGATGCTATAGTAGCATCCTACACCGTAACATCCTTTTCAAAGCAGAATTCAATACAGTAAAATGTGCATCTCAAAATACACATCAAAAAAAGAAAAAACTTTTTTTTTTTTTTTGATAAATACTATGAGAGACGTCGTTCATTTATATTTCTGAAACGTTTTGTCCATTTTTTTCTGCAATTTTAAAAATAGGAAATCTCATTCAGGGGATTTTACAAGTGCATATCATATACGCCAGTTGCCTATCCCATAGACCAGTTGAATGATGCAGCAAGCACCAAAATGTTTCTTAAAAGATTTCTCGTGCTCCAAAAAAAGCAGGGTAATTTATGATCTGTATGAAACCATTTTTTTAAGAATAAACTCTACAAGCAGGGTAATTTATGATCTGTATGAAACCTTTTTTTTTTTAAGAATAAACACTACAAGCAGGGTAATTTATGATCCGTATGAAACTATTTTTTTTAAGAATAAACACTACTAGAAATTCAATAAGCTTCATGCAATTCTTCAATAAGATTCTTTTCCGAATCTCTTTTTAATAACATTATGCACATTTCAGTTAATTCAAGTTCTATTAATTTAATTCTTTTTTCAAAATATTAGCATAATTTTCTTTTAAGATTCATTTGAATACTGTTTCATTTTTTAATTTTATAAGACTAAATGATTTCCCAAAAAATTTTCTGCCTCAAATCAGGACTTTTTTCCTATTTCACATAGTTTGAGCTTTCAAACAGTCTTCACAAACTTATTTCATAGGTGAGTCATGAGAAAAAATTTCCAGTTGTTTTTCATAAGAGATATGTAACATTCTGGTGGCCAGTGTTTAAAACAGGTGTGTTACTGACCAAAATATTCATGAGTTTAAAGGCTCTAATTGAGTTTTTTTCACTTTTTTAAAAACTTTCCTAGAAGTGAATTAAATTTATATGCAACATTGCATGAGTTTTGGAGGATCTTCGCATTCTTCTAAAATATCATAAACTCTTGCACTATTAGATTTGCAATCTCACTGATAAATTGCTTCTGTTAATTTCCAAAATAAAACAAGCAACACTTATCTTATCACTTGCAATTTTTCCAGCTATTCGAAGAACAAAAATCAACACATCTCAAACTCCGGCCTGATAAGTTGTTTTATTTTCCTAAGCATCAAACGGAAAATTTTACAATTATTTAGGCTAGCAAAAGGGAAACTTAGAGGCGTCATAACTTTCATTTTGTTAAAATTTCATACCAATAAATAGAAAGGTGCCACTGAAAAACCTAAATGCCTAAAAACTAACTTTGTCTCTTAAAATCAAGATATATTTATCGTCTAAAATATTTATAAGGGGTGGTTTTTAAATATATGGAATAAAACTAGAGGGTCAGCATTTAAATTTTTAAAACTTGAAAAATAAAGAAATTTCTTACACATATATATATATGAAATATGTGACTATTTATCCTATTTTTAATAGCATATGAAGTTGATAGTGGTAAGTTGTTTAAGTTGTTATAAGTCTCAAAGACTAACGAAACACTTAAAAATTGAAGGGCTAGAAAAAATGTATTTAAAAAGCTTCTAAGCTGTATTTTCTGTTGAGCAATTTTTGAATTTTTTATGTCCTTATTGATGTTTTATTATTTTTTAACATACTTTACTAATGCTGATTTAATAATATTCATCATTCAAGTATTATTCATGTAACAGTAAACATAATATACTGATAAAAAGTTTCACATTCGTTTTCTTCACTCACTCAGAGAGAAGCAACCAGCAGTACTCAAAGCATAACTACTTTCACATTGAGAAACTCGCTTCTGCTATTGTTTTAAAAAGAATCGCAGATATTATTCAACCATGACAAGTTGAAAGGTAATCTAGGTTCACTTGTTTAGGAAAAGTTAAAGCATGAGAAATATGAACGTATTTCCTTCAGTGAGTGACTCAGTGAAACCAATATGTAAAAGCAGTTGCAATATAGAAAATAACCATTTGGGTAAAAACTTAAATTGGAAAGCGAAGAGATAGAGATACAGCACCAAATAAGGTGTCTATATTCTAATTTTATGCTTCATTGAACAGCCGACCCAATTTTGGGTTTACGACTACTAATGTTCAACTACGTAGCCTTGTAATTTTGAACCAATCCAAAAGATAAGGAAACTCCTGGATTAGTACCCCCAGAGGTATTGATTTGTTACGGGAACATGGAGGTCTTTGCGACACGACAGATCTAGCGTGCAACAGCCACTATTTACTACATGGGGAGTCTTCAGCCGGAGGGGATCGAATCCACGAACTCTTTGACATGGGCCCAGTGCCCTACCAAGCAGGCTATTCCGGCCCGAAGGTGTCTATATTAACTATTACCCACGATTCTCCCTTTCTCCTTAGGGTTGACTTTCTTTGCCATCTCCTGCTGAATACCTAAAATGCTACCTGTACACTTAGCTAACACTAGTGATGTACATGACAACTTGTGATGCTAGGACCTATATTCTTTGTTTTATACAACATATTTTCACAACACTTTATTTTCACAACCCTTAATTCTCACTCCACTATCAATGTAATTAACCTTTAGATTCTATAAGACTAAAAAAATTTTCATCAATAAATACTGTTTTGAAATATTTAAAATACTAATTAGAAAATCAAACAATTATAAAATCTGTTTAGACACACAAAACACTAAGCAATAAATATATTTTTAAGAAGCAGCTCAAGTAGTTTTGTTAAATAAATTTAGCAACAATCATTTAGGAATTAACCTTAAAAGAAATAGAATCATAATAAAAATGAAAGCAATGATTAATACACAGAAAAAGTTAGTAAAATATACCACACACAAATTTAACAAAACAGATTCCACACGAGCTAAAGACATGCAACACACAAAAGCAGCAAAATACACTTCACATGAGCCTAACTCTATGCAACAACATGCATGTAGTAAGAAAACATGCAAAAACATACCAGTGTTGGCGAAAGCTCTCAACGGGATATAAATCATGGTCAAATCTGATTAGAATATAAGTATGTTAGTATTTTTATACACACACAAAAAAAAATTGCAAACAAAAATAACAAAAGCTAAACTGAGTATGCTGTATTTTAAGATTTGTACCCCTATTATTGTAATAAGCCGCAAAAAGATAGTGACATGTTACAACTATTAAAAAACAAAATAAGAAAAAAAAATTCCCTGTATTTTCCAGTTTGTAAAGAAAAACTCAAAATTCCCTGCATTTTCCCAATTTTTAGGTGATTTTTAAATAACGTGTATTTTCCAAGTTTTTCTGTTTTCCTTGCAGAGTGGCAACTCCGTGATATACATTTTAACAGATGTTTCATGCCTAATATATGTTTTATACCTCCATATCTAGTTTCCAGCTTTGTGAATAGTATTCAACCAAAAACTATATGAAACTAATGTTAAAAAATTATTTTAAATGAATCATTTGTTACCTTATCTTTGTGAGGCAATTCTTTTAAAGCTATTTTATCAAGGAAAATAAAGACAACATGAATTTGCTACTTGTATGGCATTGCCTAAATTTGTTTTCTTATTACATTTTTTTTGCCTTCATTAAATGTTTCCATATTCGACAAACTTATAATGATGTGTACAAAGATGTGACAAAATTTTCATTAACAAGGTATTTTGTCTAATTGTGTCTCAAAACTTTTTAATTCTTTTTTTGTAATAAAACTGCATGGGCTTACTTCAAAGAAAGCTAAGAACAGTTTTTATTCACGAAAAAAAAATTGAAACTGCCTTTTTAGAAAATGAACCAATCATACTATTGTGAATTACGTTTAAATTCTAATTATTTTTCCTAAAACGGAATCAAAATAGTAACAAAGGTTCAGAAATTTTCCCCCCTATTATTCCAGGTTGATTTTACCCAATTTCCTTGATTTTTGTAACCGGTAACAAATTTAATTATTAATTTTACAGTTATGCTTTATCCTGATGCTTAAAATATAATACAAAATACTTATACTTGCTGTTAAACTTAAAAATAAACAAATATTTTGTTTTTCTTCTTTTAAATAATTTTTTAATCCACTTTTTTTTTACAAATAATTATTAAAACTTTAAGTACCTCAAACCTAAATTGCTTTTCCCTGGCTTTTTGGGAAATTAAATTAAAATCCCCGATTTTTCCAAATTAATAAAATTCAATGATGATCACCCTGAGAATGCCAAAAAACTTGAATATTTTTTACATTCTCAGCTTTTACAGTGCCTGATAATGCTTGGGCTCACAAGACCTATGAATGAATCCTCTGCAATCACACCAGACAATGCAATCTAGATCAAGTGACAAACATGTTTTTAGAAACATACAGTTCAATTTGGTGACACAAAATTTACTTATTTTGCCTTTCAAGTCATTTCTAAATTTCAAAATTCAATTATAACAGGAATGCCTTAAAATTAATTCCTGAATCCACCCACAGATGATCACCGGACAATTAATGCTTGATAAAGATTTATTTCTATCATTAGTTAAAAAGTTACTCTATAATTTTAAAAAAATAAAAATTCCTCATTTTATTTACTTATAATTAAGAATAACACTACATGCATTCATAAATACAGTAGGGAACCGATTATCCGGAACGATCGGGACAATCGCTATTCCGGATAACTGATTTTTCCGGTTTTCTGAATCGCTACAAAAAACCATTTGTTTATTGTTAAACCCAACAAAAAAAAAATTTTTTTTTTGGAAATAATCTTAAAAAGAAAAAACGATGAAAGAATACACTAATGATTATTTCCAAAATGATGGTAAGGTAAACATCTTTCAAAAAAGAAAAAAAAAATCCTAAAATCTTATGAGGGAAAAAAAAATTTTTTAAAAAATGGCGCGAAAATTTATCGAATTTCGTTCCGGTTTTCCGATTTCCGGATAACGGGTTCTGTACTTATATAAATGAAAAAGGATAACTTACATTTTGACTTTATCCGGTATACTGGCATGTTGAAGTGTCACATATGTTGATAATTCTTTTAAACTGTACACAAACTTCAATTTTCGGCTGAATTTGGCACTAAAATAAAATATATACATACATGTATGAACATCAATTAATATACAATATTACTCTAGAATTTTATGACAATTCATTTATAATTCACATATAGAATACATATTTAGTACTGTCACTTAAAAATGTCCAATGTTTATTGTCTCATGAAATTAGAAAGCATTTATAACATTCATCGTTTAATTTCTTCAGGAGATCAAGCTGGATTTAATGTTTTTATCTAGCCTCTCCACAGATTTGCCAAGCTTTGATAAAATGTATCTTCCTTGCCTGCTTAAATATTGATTCACAAAAATCAAATATACATAATACAGTCAATTCGCTATAACTCGAAGTACGATAACTCGAATATTACTATAACTCGATTTTTTTATGAGGTCCCGACCCTTTTATCTTCAATTTCATGTTAATTATTCTCGATTACTCGAATTTTACTCCCTTTAACTCGATTTTTTTTGGATCTTTTGAAGCAAGAAAAAAACCTAGGAGCTGATATCTTGTCCCTTCCTTTGCAACACACACACAATGTCTTTCGCACTCTTCATGGAGAAGCTAAAGCTGTCCCTCTTGAAGTATGTGAACAGTGGTTAAATGAAATGTTACCAAATTTACTTCAAGGATACAGTTAAAATGATGCTTTCAATATTGATGAAATGGGTTTATTTTTTAAATGTCTTCCAAATAAGACTATGATGTTTAAGGTTGAAAACTGCTCAGGAGGTAAAATGAGCAAGGAACGTTTGACTGTCCTAGTTGGAGGAAATGCATCTAGGACAGAGAAATTGCCCTTACTTGCTATTGGAAAATACCGAAATCCCCGATGTTTCAAGAATGTAAAAACGTATCCTTTGGATTACAAGTCTAACAAAAAGTTTTGGATGACATCAGTATTATTTGAAGACTATGTAAGAAAATTGGATCGGAAATTCTTCGCTGAGAAAAGAAAACTGATACTCTTTATGGATAAATGCACAGCGCATAGTGATCTAATTTGAAAGCAGTAAACTTGCAGTTTCTCCTCCCGCCAAACACAACAGCAAAGTTGCAGCCGATGGACCGGGGTATCATAAAGTGCTTCAAACAGTCTAATCGTTAATGGCTTGTCAGAAAAATGATCTTAAATATTGTAAGCATTTAGATGATTTGTAATTAATAAGCATTAATTAAATAATCCGACAATATTTTGAAAGTCCAAAACTGAAACTAACGGTAAGTCGAACTTCCGATATGTCGAAGTTTTTCGTCAGTCCTATCAGATTCGAGTTATCGCGAATTCACTGTATATAATAATAATTTCTTACCATACTTTTTATCTCATTTTTTGACAGAGATCCTTAAATTATATTGAGGGATACACATATTACAGAACACTTTTAAATAAAATACATTCATAATCATATTTTAACTTGAGCTCTGCATTAATTATGCTTTATTCCTGTGGGTGATTTATTTACTTTCTTGCAAGATAGAAATTGTTTTTTAGTTTTCTTTCAAAGAAACTTTAAATAAAGAAAAATCAAAATACCATAAAACACAATTTTAATTATTCTCATTAGGATATAGGGTGAAAAAAAATTTTTTAACGTTTATCCCTTTTTTATTGCACTTAGCATTAACATTACCATTCCATTTCTAAACACTAAAACTATTTTCTTTCTTTCATAGTTAATTAGTACTTACTCATAAAAAAAAAACTAGTAAGATGCTGCTGCAGAGCACAACCATAGAAGATTTAATCCGACAATTTTTTTATTTCTTTATTAATATTTAAGACTCAAATGCCAAGTTATAAGGTTACATGTGCAGCTTTTTACTTTTAGGTAAAGTAAGAAGCTTTTAAGTTACATAGTTTATATGGTGAATAAAATATAAATTATGACATACCTTATAAATGGGCGGGTCATAAGGACGAGTGTTTTTAACCAAAATGTTGGATGCACCAAATAGAGTTTCTTCAAGTTTTTTCTCAACCTGTACAGGAAAAAATTATTTAAAAAATTTAGTATTTATAAAATTTTTAATCTGTACTTTTTACATGCATTGTTATTTAAGGAAATAAATATAATTTTTTTGTCACTTTCAAGTATTTGTTAAAAGTAAAATTATCAGCAAACATTAACACTTATCACCCCAGGGTCTGAAATGCCTTAGCAAGTAGACAACCGAAACTGTAAGGACTGCCTAAGAAACGAGTTTGAGCTTCTTCCCAGTTTCCTAAAATTATGTACAATAGAGGCAGACACAATCTCTGAACTTTTTTAAAGGGAAGATAGTAAGAGACTTTTGAACAAAAATTAGTGAGTTTTTTTTTTTCGTTGCTTTTGTAAGAGTTATTTTTATCATATATTTCAGTAAACAAAAATTTCTGTGTTTTAAAAATCAGATCATATTAGTCGATACACTGATTATAATGCAATAAAAAGTAATATAAAGTAATTATTGCAATAAAAATGTAAAACAACATAAATTTAATTTTAAAAAATATATAAATAAAAAATTAAGGTACCCTTTCAAACACAAACAACTCAAAATTACTTGACGTGAATGAGTTAAACTATTTTTTTTTTCAATCCGAACTGAGTAAATTATTCAAGAAAAAGGTACGAGAGAAAAAATTAGAGTTATGGCAACGCCAAAAAGAGGTTTTTTAAACATTTAACCATTAAATTATTGTGTCTTTAATATACCAATGAGTAAGAATAATCCCCTCTGAAATTGGTGACATTGACACAATTTTATTTTATTTTGAAATTAAACATTTTTAAAATGCGATTGACAACTTATACAGATCAGCTTTTTGTACCCGAGAGTTTCGTTCGTTACACAGAATACGAGTGAGACATATTCAAATGATAATATGCCTCACTAGGGCAACATTAATAAAATAAAATTGATTCTATACCATGAATTGTTAAAAAAATTACACAAGTAACCAACAACTGATAATGCACGTAGGTGTATCAACTTTGACATTATTGTGATCATCATGGATAACTATAATTATAAAATAGGATAATATCGTGAATCTTATAAGTTATAGTTATTGAATGAAACAGTGAATGGTGATAGTTTATTTGGGAAACGAAAATAGTAACCAATGTATTAAAAAGTACACATTAGTTAAATTGTCAAAATATTTTTTTTACTATACATAACATTCAAATTGATGTTTATTAATTGTAGGGACAAATACTTATCATGGGGACAACTCAAAAATATGGTTGCCAACTTATGGTCCCTATAACTAATAAGTACCACTGGATCTATTATGCATTGAATTTTCCTGCCTATCAGTTTGTAGTGGACAATTCCAATCACACTGTTGACAGAATCATATTTCTTTTGTTTTTAAGCAGCCTGATGATAATGTAAGTTAACTGTCACCTTTGCTACAAAAGGCAGAAAGCATGAATTGCCCATAAACGAGGTGTTATAACAACCCAAACAAAATATGCAGGTCATCCGAAAAATAAGTTACCCCCGAGGCCATAAAAAGAAATAAATTATAATTAACTAATTTTAAGAACACTCTTATTACAATGGATACAACAATATTTCAGATACTTCAGAACATAAGAATCAACATAATTGTCCAGATATAGCTGAGAGTGGTTTGAGAGGTCCGGAGAGCTCCACCAAAATATTTCAATATCAAAGATCATATACATGTATGTGTGGTCAGAAATTTAAAAAAAAAAAAAACATAATTGGACTCCTCAAATATCGACACCCAAGCTACTTGCCTTAAAATTGCAACACTCGTCCTATCCTGAGATTAGTTTTAATCCTACCACATAATAATGCTAATCTGTCCCAGTTGTCAGTGGGAAAAAAAAGCCTGAACAGGAAATTCTTCAGGGGGAAAAACAGGTATGTCCCTAAAATGCAATGCTCCCCCATATACAGTAAATTCTACAAAAAGCATGCAGTGGAAGTTTTACTTGAGGGCATATATCATTATTCGACCTTCAACAATATACTTCCAACTTTACTCTCAATAACTTCCATCTGTTCTTAAACTGGAAGAAATTCATCTCCCAGCATCACTTTCCATAGACAATGACTTGTAGACACTTGTAACACCACATTTCCCAGCTTAATTCCTAGATGGCAGGCTATTACGATGCTCAATTACAAAAATGTTTCCCAGGGTATGATAAGGTTGTTAATTCAGGTGGAATCTAAAAATTGCAATAAATCTTTTCAGAAGTTCTTTTTTTTTTTTCTTTTAAGGGCCACGGGTAGCTTATTTTCTTGCTGACTCTCCTAAAATCGCTAAGCGTAATTTAGTTTGCAAAACTAAAAATTTAAGGACATTGCTAGGTTTTAATTGTAAACCTCAATACCTCCGATCAATCATTTGATAGCATCTCTTCAGCCAACTAAAACTGGGCATGTTGTTGCTGTCGGTGGCCCCATGAAGATAAATAAGAACATAGTCCTCAGCAATTAACTCATCCAAAGTAACTACCACATATCTAAAAGAAACAAAATACTACATTTAATATTTTTCATCCATAAAAAGTATACCTTAGATATGCACTGCAATATATAAATGCATGTTGCAATGTATACCAAGGTACATATTAGATTAAACACATCCATATCGTGTAAATGCTGATAGCATTTGTTTTCATTGCAAGTAATCAATTAATTTTATACTACTGACTATATGACATATAGTTTTTGTTGATTTTGGAACAAAATATTGAGCATTGTTATAATATTATCCTTAATATTCTGTTACTCAAATCTTTGTAAGCATCTTCAAGTCTTTCAACAGCAAGGAATAAGAAATTTCATTGCTGAGTGCAATAGTTTGTTATTTTTCCAGTTAACGAGCTATTTCTTTCTTTCGTATTCTTACAGCACTTCTTACATATAGGTATTCTTAATAATTTATCATTTAAAAGATAGAAAGATCACCTTTCTCGACAGGATTTGGATAGAAATAGTTATCTTGTTGGTCTATTCACTAAGTAATTTTATTAGTTATATATTATGAACTTTGAAGGATCAAAAAATTGAAAACTGTAAGGTGTTCAGTAAATTAAAAAAAAAAAAAAACTCTTAATTGAAAACATTTTTAATTAAATTGTAGCATACAAAAACAAATCAGGAATAACAAAGAAAATGTTGATAATTCACAAAAACTCTGATGGATATTTCTGTAACAACAAACTTGCACCCCTAATCATATCTTAGGATCAAATCAATGGATTAACACATTTAAAAGATTTGTTCGTTTTTTTGAAAAACAAAGAAAGTAGTAAGTGTTCATTTCCTATGGTTTACTTTGCAAAAACAAGATTTTGGCTTGGATTCATAAATAAAAATAAACTTTTCTACTACTTTTAAACAAACATTTGGTTCAATTATTAAGTATAAAAAATTTAAAATCATAGTGACCAGCTTTTCCATTAAATGCTTTTGTTATTGGGTTGTTTTATTTCTTGTATTTTTTAGGGGGGGGGGGTTGTATGATACTGTCATACGTTTTTTAGCTTAGTATTTTCAGTTTCTTTTTAAAAAATTTTGTTTTAATCATCTTGGAGTTCTTGTCACTACTACACTAAGTATAGGATGTCATTTTTTGACAGATCAACATGATAAAAAACAGTAAAAAAAACTTTTATGTTTGCCACTGTTGACATTTTCTCATCGACACTTCTCTTTCACATTTAATTCTAGATATTCTAGAATTCTAGATGTTTTACTTTCTTCCAAAATAAGTTCAAACTCTTTTCTAATAGAAAGATATATACGCTTGGAACAAACAAATATGCATTATCTACTTTTTTACACTGGCATTTTTCATAGAGACAACTTTCTATGGCTGGTCATTAATGGCTCAAAAGCTGTGAGATAAACTAAAAACTGAAAGTATATTGTACTCACAAAAACAAGTTATCCATCACATAATTATAGTCTTTACGACTTCTTTCTGGAAGATGGCACGCAGAAAAAAGGATAATAGCATTGCATGAAGATTCTTCATAACCTATAATAAAGATAATAAATAAAAAAATATGTAAAATCATAAAAGAAATATTATAATAAATATTAACATACAAAATAATAACTTTGAGCTACTTTATAATTAGTGGCAGAATTTTTTTGGGCTTTCTGCGACAAACTTCACTAGGGCTAATATATTTCTGCAGTATGTAAACTATAACAATTACTATAACATTTTAATTAGAACAATTACTAATTTAAAGTAACAGAAATGTTGTGTTTACAGAAGAAAGTATAGAATAAAAATTTGTAAAAAAATTTAATCATAAATGTTATTGTAATTTATATTGTTTTGCAATTGTATGTAATTGCAAATATAATTTTAAATGTAATATTTTTTTAATTCTAATATTATGTGATATTCTCGCATTTTATGGGTGGAAATACCATAAAGTCTAAAAATATTAAAAAAGTATCTGATTAACAAAGGCATGAATAAAATAAACAAAACATATAAAGAGATAAATAAAAAATAAAAGCAAAAGCAGTAACTCCGAAAATAAATATCGAAGATGAAATTACACGAATAGGACTCTTTAAAATACAAAAAGATACTCAAATAAATGCTTTAAAATTCGGTTGTTATAATAAATAATATTGTATTAAAAATATCGGATTTTAAAAACTATGTGGAAATTAATAACAATTACTGGTAAAAAATCAATAGGAAAAATCAAGTGACTCATTACGTCAAAAAGTAAATACTCAACTGCGCAATTCGAATTCCGTTTATTGTCTAAAATATACCGAAATATTTAAAAACCGTGATAAAATAAATACAAATAATTGCTGAAAATACAATTGAAACACCACGTGGATTTATGATGCTATTGGCATAAATTCAGAGCGGCAAAAAGTGATTATTTAAATGCTGAATTCAAATTTTATTTGTCAAAATTATATCAACTGAGGAATAACAGAATTTTAAGAACCAAGTAAAAAATCAGAAACACTAGCAGAAACTGTTGGAAGAACGATAAAATCTTCATATTAAAAAAATAATCAAACGGGAAATTTAAATTACCTGTGTAATAAAATTGTATCATAAAAATTAGTTTTTTTTTTAAAAAAATGGAAAATATTTAGCTAAACAAACGTTTAAAATACCGCATGGATTAACAATGATATCAGCACAAAACGAGAGTAACAAAGAGGGATTTCTTGCATGCACAATTTAAATTTTACGTGTTGTAATAATATCAATATTTTATTTTAAAAATAAATCACGAAAATATCAATAATAATAACTGAGCAATGAAAGACATTGGAATTTTTAAAAAATCATTGAAAATTCATAGCAGTGATTGCCAAAAAAACTGATCAAAATATTACATATATTTGCGATGAAATCAGTGCGAGTTGAGAGCGCTAAAGACCCAAATGTGCAATTTAAATTTGTCATGTGCATGATATTATATTAAAAGTATTGAATCGATTTCCTTTCAATTAAATTTAAAAGGAAAGTAAAAAATGTACCACAGTGATTGGTTATTCATTTGCTACAAATCTGAATTTGTAACAAATAACCACTCAATCATATTTTATTAAAATGCAAAACATGGTGTTTGTTACAGAAAAGAAAAAATTAAAGCAAGAACTCTTTGAAAGCTTTTTTATTATATATTATTAATTAAAAATTTTAGCTGAAGACAGTGATTAAAAAAAAAAAAAATTTATTAAATTATTTTAAATGAGAATAGAAAAATCATGTTTATTTCTCTCTTCTCTGATGCGCAAGAAAGAAATCTTTGAAAACAAAAAGCATTTAGGAAAAATTATGCAGCAAGGAAAAATAAAAAATTTCTCTTCCCAAATGAAAAGTCTGACTGCAAAAATTCAAACGTTCTGCGACAATGTCGTCGCAATTCTGCCATGGGGATCAGGATTTCTTTACCCCCAAAAAAAACCTAAAATAATTTGCTTAAATTTCCATATTTTTTATTGCTAAGAACACCAACACAAGGTTTGTAACTGATCGTGCTCCAATATTAAACCTTTTTTATTTAATTGCTTAGCTGATGAAAAATTTATATTAAAACTTAAGTCATTGTTTATACTCAAATAAAAGTTCTGTGTTAATTTAATAATACAAATTTTTCATAGTTTTGATTAAACAAAAATTAGTGGAACATTTCAATGACTATATTACTTCAAATTAAACGTTTATAACATTGACAATAGGCTGCTTAGGTATCTTAGGATATATGATACTAAGAATATCTGATAATAAATTATAAACAACACTAATAGTATAACATAATTATAGTTATAAATATAACTTTAGTGTAAGAAATAATTAATAATGAGTAAAAATAAAAGCTTTTACCTCCATGAGATAAAACTTTCCGATATGGCTCTATGACTTTCATGTCTATCTTCCTATCCTCCCCATTCACTACACATGATTTCCAGCTACGTTCTTCCTCAAGTTCTTCAGCAGCTGACATCTCTGGTATCCTATCACTACCAAACGAAGAATCTGAAACTTTTAAGAACAAACATTTTCACAGATCTAACAAAAATATTTATGGGAAAAAAAGGATGCCTAAAAAAGCACAGCAACAACAAATGCAACTTATTATAAATCTATATGGAAATATCCATATGAGATAGATAAAGCGTTAAAAAGGGTAAAATATTTACAAAAAATTTACTTTAGGAAAAAAATGCTATCAAATGGCCAATGTCTAACATATAGTGAAAGGGGAAAACTTCCTGCCTAGCATATGAAAAATTAACAAACTAATTTCACCATACTTTGGAATAATGTGAGAAATATAAAATAAAATTCAAAAATACTAATTCAAAGTCATAATTTTTTTTTTAACTTTATTTTTTTAAAAATTTATTTAACCAAAACATGAACAAAGGCAGTTCAAGCGTTTATTAAAAAATTACAGATGAATACAATATATAAACTATAAAAATAATATATATTTTTCATAGATATGAAGTTTTTTAAATTTTTGAGATAAACTTGCATAAAAAATAGTATTAAAATATCATTGCTGATTGGTTGTATTGTCCAAGCCAGGCAGCAAGCGAACAAGGGTTTGAATATAAAAAATCCAGCCCATTTAAACTTTTACCCAAAACTCTCTTCTTTTATTGATATTATAGCATCTTCATGGCCAGTAGAGAAAATTATATAAAGAGGGACGAAAGTTAACCTAACAATCATGTTTGACTGTAACCAACACACGAGACATTGACACACGATTGACTGTAACCAACACACGAGATTGTAAGTTAACCTAACAATCATGTTTGACTGCAACCAACACACGAGATATAAAAATAACATAGTATTCACTAAACAGCAATGTTTCATAGAAAAACAGAGCTCTCAAATAACAGCCTTAATAATAAAAATTCATATGATAAAAAGCAATTTTTTCAATATCTACAGAATGATGAATTACATGTCAAGTTTTATAGCATAAAATCTAAAACTAAATCTCAACTAATAAAACTAAATAAAATGTCTTTAAAGAAATTTACATCCATCAATTTCATCAAGAGTTTCCCTCTCATCTTCATCGAGAATGACATCATCAGAAGGAGAGTAAAAGTCGTTATTACTTCGACTGCTAAGTGACGATAGGCTACGCTGATCATCTTCCAAGATAGCGGGGCTAATGGCTATCTTTTTACGACTTCCATCCATTGACATGGAGTCTAAAAATAAAGTAGAATTCCATACTTGCAATTACAAATTTATACAAGTATGTATTACATACGTGTACGTACGTGTATTACAAGTACGGTAGAAGCTCAATGTAATGAATACAGCATATTAAAAGAAATATTTCATATCGCTGCTAAAACTCTAATTTTAAAAATACAAAAATCATACATTTATAACTACTTAAAATTACAAATTTTCTGCTATTAGAATAAATTCATTTGGAGGGAAAATATTTTTCTGCATTTAACTGAGCAATTTTATAGAGACAAAATAGGATAATTTTCATTTATTTCTATTAATAATTCAAAAGAGAGAAAATAAACATTATGTCACTTTATTTCCTTCGTACCTTTAATGTCACCTTTGTTATTCGCATAGCAAGCAAGCCTGTGAGTGGCGACCAACCAACATCCTTACACAAAAAACAATTTTCTGTTATTTTTTAAGAGACCTGCTTACCACTTCAAAAATAGGCTCTTTTAAATGATCACATATATTATAACCTTTTTGACAGCTCACAATTAAAATTAACATTCAATTCTATCAATGACCTTAAAAACTGCTACTGCACTTCATTTTACTTTTTTAATGCTATTTTATGTGTGGTCTTCCTTATGAAAACAAGCTCAACGTAACAGTGATTCCATCTGTTATTGTGAATTATCCTTAAAATGGATTCAAATTGTATTAATTTATTGTTTACAAATTGGCTTTATCTTTGGCCTCAATTTACCTGTAATTCTAAACATTTGAAAAAATGGCCAGCTCATAACCAAAGATACCTAGTTACTTATTAAACTACTTAGTTTATTATTTTGGTCTGATTTAATATTGTTCCATTAAATAACAATGCTGTATATAATGAGAAACTTGGAAAACTGAAAAATGTCAAATCTAGTTGCATACTAAATCCAAATTAAAATTTCATTAAAACAAAATTAAACTGCAAAAAACAATTGTTTCATTTTATATATTTCAATTACAAAGTGCAACACTTCTGTTTTTGTTCTTTAAGAGTCTTTTGACTTAGACTTTTTTTAACAGATAAAACTTTTATTTTGAACACTTTAAACAGTTGAATAAAAAGCACACTTTTTAAAAAAAAATAGATACCTAGATATGCAACCTGGAAATTAATACTTCATCAAACTAGGAAATCATTATTCCCAGAAATTACTTATCAACTAAGGTAGGAAACTATTCATTCTGGGACAGTTTTTCCAGAAGGAAATAAAAAATTTCAAGGAAAAAAAGTACAAATTGCATACTTATACCAATATCGATATCTTGCTCATCAATTTCATCACACATCTTATCTCCGTCACTTAAAATAGGTTTCTCAGGAAGGGGCGACTGGGTGACATTTATTTTTCTTCGCCCTAATGAATTAAACGACTCTTGACCAACTTCTTCATACTGTTCATTATTAACCTGAAAATCATGACACTTCGTAAATAAAACATAATTCATTATAAATTCTACATGATTCATAACAATAATATTTATAATATGGGCAATTCCACCAAAAGAAAACCAAACAGTCGCCATTTCGAACTCCACCAATATTGATACAAAAAAATATTTCACAAATTAACATCAAGAGGTAAAAAATTTAAAAAAGACCACCTTGAATAGCTTTTGATTTAATGATTGGATCTTCACCTTCCATGACTCATTCTTGATGGTTCAAGGGGGTGACCTCAAATACGCTAATTAATTAGTGCAGACAATATTTTAAGTTAGGAAATCAGTCACAAAAACTTACTTTCACTGAATAAACATGTCTTTCTTTTGATGGTTTCTGATTTCTGACCCCCAATATATGAGGTAGCAGCAATCTGGGGAATATAGTCCCAAATATTTTGTCAAGAGAGCGCTCCAAAATAACTTCAATTTCTGCATATTTCAACATATCTTGAAAACTTTTCTTCAAGTGAATTGAAAAAATTGTATACACATAATTATAAAATTTGTTTATCCAAAGATAATTTTATGCACACAAAAAACATTTAGAAAATATTTATTATTTTATTTAAGAATTGTCGAAAAAGTTTTGAATTGTAAGGTATACAATTTTTTGCATCATTTTAAATAATGTAATTTTATATGGCAAAGTACAAAATTTGAGCAAAATCTGTCGAATAGTTCCAGAGAAACCGAACTTCAAATATCTGACATTTTTAAAATTCAATTTCTCAAGATCTATTCAATAGATTTCGCTCATATTTTGTATTTTGCTACATAAAATTACTTTCTTTAAAATTATGTTAAATGGTATACTTACAATTCAAAATTTTTTTGACTATTTCTTTACAAAATAATGAAAAGATATTTACTAAGATTTAATTTCTGCATGGAATATTCTTTGGATAAACGAATTTTAGAACTGTGTCCAAAAATTTTCCAATTTGCTTTAAAATTTCTCGAAATATGACGAAAAATAAAAATAATAAAATTAACATTAAGGTGTCCAAACTTTGGATCACTCTTCTGACCTAAGATTTCCCTAGATGGCAGCTACCCCTAAAATATTGTGTACACAAATTAATTAAGATATTTAAAGTCACCCCATCAATTCATTAAGAATGAAAACTAGAACGTGAAGTTCAGAGTCAGGGAGGAGGGGGTAATGCACTGTACTTATTTCTAAAATAATTATACCAGCTTACTTAACTTTTAGGAAATTCCCTAACTTTTGAAAGTTAGAAAATTTTATACGGCTGAATAATAGATACATAATATGAAATTCCAGTAAAAACAATCTTAGAGATCAAAATGACCAATATAATATGTACTATTTTATTTACGTCACATTAGAGCTGCATGACAGACTATTGGTTAAGGTCAGCAAAACATCTCTGAAGTTGACCGCCAGTCACGCTTCACTTCAGTGATTTATTAGAAGAGTCTTATGGTCAGTCTTATGGTCATTAGAGTCTTATGGTCACTGTGGGAAATCACCAATATAGAGAGTTACTTTTAAATATTTTTTTTTCTTAATTGCTTCCTTTTTTTTTTAATGACACATCCGCATGAACAGAAGATCAACTTCAAGGTTCACTAGATTAACTCCAGGTTGGTATACTATTCAGCAGGGTGTAAATGATTTTAATCAAATGATTAAAATCATTGATTAAAATCATGATTTAAATCAAATGATTTTTTTTTAAAAAATCACTGATTTTAATCATGGAGATGATTTTAATCATGGAGTATGGAGAAACCCCCTTATTAAGTATTTTGCTAAAATTCATTGTACGCTCTCCTCCGTTTAATGGAACTTTGTTTGATAAAGAATCTCTAGAATCTTTAAACATCTTGGAATGGTGGAAATCAATTGCGCTTCTAAAGAACTGTGTAGGTCAAAAAGAGTTTGATGCAATACAGTTGTTATGTACTGCAAAAGGAACAACTGCAGGGATAGAGAGGATGTTTTCCACTTTTGGACTTGTACATACTAAACTACGGAATCAATTGGGTGTAGAAAAGGCAGCTAAATTAGTCCTTATGTTTAAATCTTTAAATAAAACTAATTAAATGATTGTTTAAATAATTTGATATTGTAGATGTAGAATTAATAATTATCACATATTGTTTGATAAACAATTTCTTTCTTGATTTGTAGTTTGAAATCACTTTGTTATTGTTTATTTCTTATTTCACCTTTTGCTTTTAAATTATTAAGAAATATTTTGTTGATAATGGTGTTTATTTCCAATGTATACCATAAGTAACAATAGTAATACAATACAACTTTAAATCTATGGTACACAAAATTGATTATATTCCATAGAATTGAAATTATAAAAAAATCATGATTAAAATCAAAAAAATCCGATTTTTTTGATTTTTTAAAAAAATCATGATTTTTATACACCCTGCTATTCAGTTATAATAGCCACAAACACTCAGAAAAAAATATTTCAACTTTTTAGTATTGATTACATCGAATTTCCTAATTTCTTTAACTGATGGCATGAATTTTAGAAAAAAATTTCGTTATGTCCAATTAAAGTTCATAAAATAAATAATTTAACCCTTTTAATTGCTATTAAAGTTGGAAATCAAGCATTATTAAAAGAATAAGCTATTCAAACACTTTACATGAAAAGATTCTGGTAACTAACAGAAAAGATATATAATAAGGATCATACACACATTTATTTTATGCTGCTGCTAATATAAATATCGAATCAAAGGTAACAGTAAGAATACTTTTTAGATATTATTAATAACATTTGTTATCAGTTAGCATGAACTGATCATGATAGCATGAACTGATCATGATCATGATCAATATTTTCTAATAATGTTGAATCCAATTTTTGCTAAAATGATTTTCAAAATTGATAAAATTTTACATAGTACATAGTTCTTTTTACATACATACATAGTTTAAGATACTAAATCAGAGGTAAATTTAAGCAAAATCAGAATTTAAAAATATCTAGATTTATTTTCTGAACTCAAATTTAGTCTTTTCTCGAAATTTTTGGACATAATTAAATTCTATTATAATTCCCAGACAAATAGGATTCCAGTGTTCTCCTGTTTTGTAGCCACCTTAAAGTCACTGAAGATGACTAATCAAATAAGTTTTCAAGGATGGGAAAAAATTGTAAGGCTGCATTTCAATTTGAAACATTTCATTATAAGATTTATAACCGAAGTCTAAGAAGGTCAGAAAGGAATGTCAAAGAGGCTTTTCGGATCGCGAAGCTGCTGCCACAAATATGGCCTTTCTATTAACGAAGATAAGATTAAACTCATGGAATTTTCGACCTTGACTGTAAATTACAGCGCCCCTTTATGTATTAATGGTTATACTTTTGTAAGGGTTAACGAATTCAAATAACTTGGCACTGTTGTTAACGATCAAAACATACTTAGAGCAGAAATCAGCAATAGAGTCAAAATGGATAGTGTTTCTTTGGATTGAGGAGACAACTAAGATTGAATCTTCTCAGACGAAAAACAAAGTTAAAACTCTATAAGACACTCGTACTTCCTGGGCTGCTTTATGGAAGCGAAAATTGGAACCTAAATTCAGATATACAGTGGTTACTGGACACCTTCAAAGAAAGATCCTCAGAGCAATCGTTGGAGCAATTCAAAGAAAAGGCTGCTGGCTAACCAGATATAACTTCAAGCTCTACCAACTCTATAAGCAGCCCCAAATTACACAAATAATTCGTAGTAAAAGACCGAAATGGCTGGACCATCTATGGAGAAGCCCTGAAAATAGTGAGAATAGCCACCTTTTTGAACCCCGGGGGTTCATGTCCCAGAGGCAGACCCCCTGCTAAATGGCTCAACGACTTTGAAAATGACCTGAAAACCCTAAAGAATAGAAATTGGAAGGGAGTTGCCAAGGATAATAGGCGCTGGCACTTCTCAGTAGCCCAAGGCCTGCAAGGGGCTGTTACGCTGACAAAGAAAAAGAACAGACGCCTAATAAAATTACGAAAAATTTTTAGTACCAAAATTTAAAATATCTAGCAGATCTGACAAAAAATAAACATATTTTTGCATGTCTGACAAATTGTAAATAACAAATATTTTTTGCATTTTTAGCAGTTGAACAGAAACCTACATAAATAATGTACTGTAGCAAGATAACACAGGCTATAATTTATAACCACTTCTTGCTCCAAAAATCACACCCCAATTTTTTTTTTTTTTTCATTCTCTTTCTTTTTTTTTCTGTGAAAAATTTTATCTTTTTGCATTTCAAGAGAAAAAGTAAAACAGGTAGCACTACATAATTATGACTAATAATAACCTGTTACTGCCACACATTCATTTGTGATAGTAGTAATTTAAACCTGGTACAAGTGATAATTTCCAATCAAACTTTTATCGATCCTTACCTCCAGCTCTTTGATTTCTAACAAGGAATGATGATTAGGACTGTCTGGAAAATCTACAGTTTCAAGGTGATAGTCAATAATTTCATTACTGTTATTTTCATCTGGCACTGATAGAGGTTTGTTCAAGTTATTCTTATTAGGCCTACAAAGAATGAATTAAAACAGAAGATTATTTCAAAACATTTATAAAATAGAACAAAAATAAGTTGATTTTTTTTCAAAATGAACTATAACTTTGCCATTGAGCCGAGGTAACTCAAGCAGAGTATAAAGCTAGAGCACAATATCCTCAGTGGCAGAATGTTCATGAATTTGATTCCTTTTCCAATGGAGGTTTTTCTTACCAAGTAACACAAATGTTGGTCAGTTCCAGCAAAAAGTACACCACAAAGGCTACTTTGTTTTAATTTTTGAACTAAGAATACCCTAGTCATCTGGCCTGAACTCAAAATTCTAAGGCAGCATAGTAGTTATAAAGTCAAAATTAGGTCAGCTGTTAAATCTCAGTTATGAAATAAAATAAATTGGTTTTTATTTTATTATCTAAATACTTTGGGTAGTAACACACTTTTGGTTTTGAAACTTTTTCCTTTTGTACAATTACAGGTATAAGTTGGCCACTAGTTTTTGGAGCTATGGCCAAAACAAACATCAATATTATCCTTTTGCTTTAAATATGGAAAATAAAGTATATTAACAATTGAATATTAAATTATAAAACTTCATTTTCATAACAAAACTTAAACTATTTCTACTTTCATTTTTTCTTTTTTTATAAAAAAAGGTAAAAGGGCAAACTGTTTTTATTAAAACATTTTAAAAAAAGATAATTACAAAAGAATTTTAATGTAATTTTTATAAGGCATTAATACTTATGGCAAATCAATTACAAAGGTTTAGCTACAATTGGGCAGTGACTAAGGAGGAACTTTAAAAAACTTAAAGGGACTCATCCTAGGGCAAGCCATTGCATATTTTTTTAAAAATTTTGAAAATACAAGAACTTTTGGTGTCTTAATGAATGTAGTTTATGCAAACAGTTAGGATATAAAAATATCCATGTGGAAGTTGTAATAAGATAACTTAATTTTGAATCCCAAAAAACTACATTTTTGCCATGGTACCTGTTCATGCTAACAGAAATCGCCAAGGTAACAAGATAGTCTGACAAGTTATGCTTTGAATAAATTTTAAAAAAAGTATGAACCTTTTATGCTTACTAGGTCCTACTAATACCTACTATTATGTTTGTACCTTTTGTCTTTACTAGCTTTACCTTCATTTTTTACTTTTACTGCTTACGTTTTAGATTCTATTATTTCAGTTCCCCTGCCCAGTTTTATTAAGAAATGAGCCATTATTTTAGCATAAATACATAAACAGAAATCTATTCACCACAAATATGAGCTAATTTCAGTTGACTTATTTACATTTAATATCCTTACAATTTTAGTTCAATGATAATGTTAAACAAGATTCAACAAATTTAAATTAATTCACTAGATGACCAAAACTTACTATATTTATTTAAAAAGTTAAGACCTAATCAATAATGTTTCAGTTGGACAGCTTTAAAAAATATAAGAGCTGCACACGACAATTCAATGCTAAACACAAAAGAATAAAACTTAAAATGAATGCCAAGCAACATTCACAGTCATTAAATGTTGGATGACAAACGAATAAATAAAATAAAAAGTGAAGACATGGCTATTTTGTTTCTAGATTTTTGAACCAGCACGGAAGAAAATTTTCTTAAAAGCAACTCTAATTTTAATAATTGTAAAAACCAGACACATTTATATTTAATTTATTATAAATCTGTCTGAATACTTTAGACAAAAATTTAGATTTGAATAAGCCAATAACCAAAATTAATACAATTATATACATCTTCATAAAAAAACTACTTTCTCTAGAATTTTATCGGATATTTTTCTTAAAATATAGGTACATTTTCATTTTGATGGCACAAGGAAGTATTTTTTATAAAAAAGTAAAGAACCAAAAAAGTTTAGGAATTATTGTTAATTACTGCTTTTTCCAGTTCGATTTATAAGCTCATAAGCCTATAAAAGTTTTATTTCAAAGTTTAACAAGCAGGTCAATGCAAATTATAAAAAACACAAACTTTTAAAATTATTATAAGACAAACATTAAAAGCTTGCATCATAGGTCAAATTCTAAAGTAATGGAAATAAAGGCTAGACAGTAGAATAAGGTACCCCTTGAAATGTCTACAGTGACCTGGAGCTCTAATTGTAAATAAATTCTCGAATTTCTTATTAATTTGACCTCGAGTTTGTATTTTCCGTCTGGAAGTTGTCATGGCTCGGCGATTATTCTGTAGCAGATCAAGATAGAGTAATCGTCCCTATTCTTAGAAAATCCCACCGTTATTTTCTCTGAAAGAACACAAAAAAATCGCGAAAATGGAATGGATACCAGATTGCTAACTTTTACCGAAATATACGCTAACATCAATTCAAAAAATATTGCAGTCAAGGCTAAACATTTCATTAATGAGAAAGAGTTTCACTAAGTAATGTTTACTCATGTAAATTGTAACTTGTATTAAAGGATAAACAAAACTCAAAAGAGACTGCGCGATGAAAAAATAAATAAAAATAGTCATATATTCTCCTAACTTCAAAATGGAAAAAAATTTTAAAAAACGTAAGAAAAAGTTAACATCTATTGTTCACACATGAATTTCGAGATACATTCTAAAAATAAAGCTTATTAATTTTTTAGGTGCAAGTTAAAAAAAAAATTATAAGAATTGACTTACAGCATATCGACGAAGATTTTAGCTTTTCTCACAATAAAAAGTAAATAAGCTTCATATTCTTTTAAATTCTAACACGGTAGCTAAAATGAATTTGATAACACCCACATCACATCTGAGAAGGCGGATATTGAGGAAGCGTGGCAAGTAGAATGTTATGTTGACAAACTCAACTCTGATTTTCAATTTTTCCAGGAACCTGTCAAAATTTATAGAATTAAGGGTACAGTTAATCTGAAACTAGGATAAGCGTCTTAAATGAAACTAAAGCTTTATTTTCACTGTTTTCTAAAAATAAAGCTACAAGCAAGTGCTTATTGCCAAAGTATAGTTTAAAAATTGATTTGCCTCACCCTCATTTTTTGTTGATCCGTCGGCAAAATATCCACAAAAAATATTTAACTTTTTCAAAAATTATTAATTTACAATCATATTATGATAATATCCCCGTCTAATGTCTCAAAAAATTACTTTTTTCCTGTTACATAAGTTGATTCTTATTACGTAAAATAAATAATGAAATTTATCTAAAATAAATGTATAAAAAAAATCTATTTTATGGACATTGTATTGTACTTGAAGCTTTTTCTTTAAGGTAATTTTGTGTTCGTTTATGGAACATTGTAATAATAACCATTCAATTCGTATTTTCAATTTTTAAAAATTCTTGTACTTGTTTTGCTTATGTAATTTTTTGCATGTTTCTAACTGTGTCACGAGCTAGTATATGAGGCCTGTTAGATGTTTAAGTAACAGAAAATTATGTTTTTTGGTGTTACATGAGTAAAATCTTATACTTGGTAATTCTGTAAGTTAAAATTGTGAAGAATTTTTTTGATATTGTGTTATCCTTTATAGCTTGAAGCTTCTATGTATGGTAATTATTTGTTTGTTTAAGTGCCATTTTTATATCTATTAAAGTAATCCTGCAAGTGCCCATTTTCTTGTATTTTTTTATATCTAAACTATTTATTAAGAATCTAGCATATTCATTTCTTAATTATTGTCTTCAAAGAGTTTTTCCTCATAGTTCATGTACCCAGTGTTGTTTCTGTTGAAAAACAAAATTGAACAATAAGCAATTAAAATATATACTTGCATCCATGTCTGAAAAAAAGTCAATTTCGTGTGACATATGTCATAAATCGTTTCGTCAAAAAAATTTATTACTTCGGCATTCTGTAGTTCACAGTAAAGAAAAGCCTTTTTCTTGTAATATATGTGGTAAAAAATTTCCCTTCAAGACATATTTAGCAGTACATTCTCGTATTCACACTGGAGAAAAACCTTATTCTTGTAATATATGTGATAAAAAGTTTTCAACGAAGAGAAGCCTGGACCTACATTACAGAACTCATACTGAAGAGAAGCCATATTTGTGTTGCATATGTGATAAAAAGTTTGCGAGTAAGAGCTATCTGAACCTTCATTTGAGATTTCATACAGGAGAGAAACCATATTCTTGTAATATATGTCATAAAAAAATTAGTTCACTGCCAACTCTCAAGGATCATTATTTAATTCATACTGGGCAGAAGCCATATCCATGTAAGATATGTAATAAAAGTTTTGCTGTAAAGGCATATTTAAGGAAACACATCCTTTCTCATTCTGAAGAAAGACCTTACTCTTGTAATTTATGTAATAAGAGGTTTAAAAGAGGTGGAGTGCTGAACACCCATCGTAAGATTCACACCAGGCCATTGTCTTGTAATTTATGTAATAAAAGATTTGCTGTTAAATCGCGCTTCATTAAGCATATGTCTGATCATTATGAGGATAAAAAAAAGTCATTTTCTTGTAATGTATGTGGTAAAAGTTTTGCTCAAAAGCAGCATTTAGACAGGCATAATCTTGTTCATATTGGAGATAAAACTTATTCTTGTATAGTGTGCAATAAAGGTTTTACCAAGCATAGTAATTTAATTAAACACAGAGTTGTCCATTTAACTGAATTACCTTATCCTTGTAATATATGCAAAAAAAGATTTTTGCAGAAGGAAAGCTTAGATAAACATTATAGACTTCATACTAACATAAAACCTTGTTGCTTACTGTGTAACATTTTTCCTTTGCAAGTAATGTAAACTAACATAGTTTTGCTAACATGAATAAACATCATATATTCAATTGATTGGGGGGGGGGAGTAAAAATTGTACTCTAAAAAGTAATCTGTATGTACATTTTCATATCAGTAAAAACAACTGTCTGTGTGTGTGTATATATATATATATATATAAATAAAATAACTAATTCATTTTGGCATCAGTTTTTATCTGCATAGTTGAAAGATAAATGATTTTTTTGTAATAAATTTTAATTTACTAAAAATAAATGCTTAAATTATATTTTATACCTCAAATTAAAAGTAACTAATTTATTGAAAGAATCCTTAAAAACTTTTTCAATTATTAATTAGTATTTTCAATAAAAATTCACAAATATTCATTTATGTTCCTTAAATACTAGCATGAAATCGAAAAAGTACCTATAAATATTCTAAATATGTTTATCATGAACATGAAGATTTTAAATATGTATATACATTACTTTTCACCTCCACTTAGCATTAATATAAAATAAAAAATTATAAAATAATGTGTTAGCAGCATATGTAAAAGGTTGGTTGATTTTAACCAATGTTTTGTTTTGTTTTTAAAAAAAAGGCATTTTTAAAAACTTTCTCTTTTATTTATATAAATACTTTTATTTTAAATATAACTAAATACAGGGTATCTGCGCACCTGGAAAGTTATGGATTTTGGTATTGAACAAAATTTGTCATGGTTTTAACTTTTTTTTAAAAAAATCCTAGAAAGCCATGAAAAGTCGCTGAAAAATCTAATTTTTAAAATGGAATCCCCCCCCCCCTCTTCAATTTCACAGCGTTCTGAATGTCTGAATTTGTAACAACACCCCACTCACAGTCATATTTCTTAAAATACAAAATGCTTTTATCATGTTCTTTAAAAATTATGGTGTTCTTTCAAAAAATGAAAGAAAGAACCTAATTTATCTTATTCATCAATTATCTTCTAAACTTCTGTGATTTCAGAATTTTTTTTTTTTTATCAGTTTAAAATTCTAGCTGCAGCTAGCCAGTTATTGGCGAATTTTTTTAATTCTGAAATGAGAACAGAAAAATCACTAATATTTCTTTCTTTTCCCATGAACAAAAAAATTTTCTTTATAGAATATAATTCTGCAGAAAAAAAATTGCCTTTGTATTTTTTTCAGCTATTTTATTGCTTCAACCCTTTCTTTACTCTGTTTTTTAAATTTATAAATATGATTATGCAGAGTGTAACAGTTTTGGTTATTCTTATCATTTCAATAAACATTTATTTTAAATTTATTGTGTTTTTATCGGAGAAAATGGTAACTTCGATAAGTCGTGAAAAATTCTTGGATTTGAAAACCTAAAATGCCACAGGTACCCTGTAAATAAAAAATAGTTTTCTTATATAAATCTTTTAAATCTTGAGTTTAATGACTGTATTACTATAAATAGAGATGTGTGATATGAAATTTTTAAATGTATACATATTGCTCTTTTGTAGAAATATAATTTTTTAATAAAAATATATATTTCATTATTCTGAATTTCTATTTTATTTTTCTGTTTATTCTTATAATTTTTGCAGTTATCAGTGTTAACAAACTTTTATTGTATGTGTTATATGCAGTATATTTATATTAATGATTCTAATATTTTCAAATTTTAATGCTTAGAGCATGATTAAAAAATATTAAAAACTATTCAAATTTTATTGAAAATATATGATTAATTTAATAATGATTAATTTAATGCTACATTTAAAAACTTTGTTATATTTAGTGAGCTTACTGCTAATTATGCTTATCTTCAGTGTGATAAAATAAATATCAAAAAAGTAATTTATGCTTTATTTATTTATTTATTTTTTAAATACTAAAGCATACCCTTTACTTCACTACTTTATGTGTATGTATGCATTCCATTTGACATTTTTAATTCTTATCATCTTATTATTACCATTCCATTAGTTTCAAATATTTTTTAATTGAAAAAATATATATTACCTTAAATTTTTCATGAAAAAAATACGTGACCATTAAATTATGTAAATTGAATACTTCTAACTGATGGTATTAAACAATGCTTAAGTGTGTCATTTTTCTATTTTGTGTCAAACAAAGTTTAGATGATAATTGAACTTCTCCTTTACATTACTAATATAACATTTTGCTGTTAAAATTTTATTCGTTTTTTAAGTTGAAATGTAAAGCAATGTATAAGCATATTCAAAAATTTCATTCATTCTTTTTTAATATGTCGGCATGTTTATGGAAAGAAAGTGGATATTTTTCAATTATTTTTTGAGAATATATTAATTAATAGTTCAAAAAGTTTTCATGTTTGTACTTTATAATAGCTTAATTACTTTCAATTAAGGGCACTAGATTTTTTTAAAAAAAAAAAAACATTCTCCATCATTGTTATTTAATGTCATTTAGCAGTATACAATTTATAACCCTTGAATCAACCAATTTTAGGAAATGCACATTTTTTCCCCATTCATTACAAATTCTGCATGAAGTATTTAAGATAATAAAATAGTATTTTAAACTAATGCCATGATAAAAAAGAGTAAAAATGACAAATGAGTTGCATAAGGTTTAAGTACTATTGACTTAATTATAAATAAAATAACATGCTGTATCATTTATATGAAATGAGTAAAGTTCAAGCATAGCAAGACACTTATAAATAATACAGCATTAATTAAAATATGGATTAAATAACTTTAAATTATTATTTCATATTTTCTTTTTGTTAATATATTTTTTATTTGTATTTTTAAAGTATAGAATCATAAAAAAAAAGTATTGTTGTGAAGAAGTAAAAAGCAGAAGAATAGTTTTAAAATGTTATTACATGCATTATTTACTAAGCAAAACAGAAATACTAAGTAAAATTACTATACCGAATTATGCTACCATCAATTTTTCCTTATTTAAATTATATTTTGTGTCCAACTATCTCATATAAATGACTATTTCAAATTTAAGTAAGAAACATAATAGAGTAGCTTAATTTTTATTAGTAATTTTTTTCTTCTCTTTATACAATGAGTTTTCTGTTAAATTTTTAAATTTAAATGCATTTAATAAAATCTCAATTTTATTTATTAGTTCATTAAACAAGTTTTGTAAAAGTCATTACTCTAGTCATATCTCATTTTACTTTAGTTTTTTGTAATTGTACAGTTATCATACATTATTAATATTCTGAAATTGTAGATAGATTAAAAACTGCATTCTATGGTTGTAAAGTTATATTTTCATTTGAATTGAATGGAAATTTTAACATAAAAAAAATCTATTCTAAAATATAGCTATATATCATTTATTTCCAAAAATGAAACTATAGCTTTATTTAAAGATTTATTCAAAATTAAAATAATATTGTTTGAATTTTTAAATTGCCATTTTTTGAAATAATAAAGACAATAATTTAAAAATAATCAAATTACTTACTGCCATGAAATTTCTTCCACTTTTTGTACTGAAATTAAATGAAGAATTGCTTACATAACTTTATTCTTTCAATATCTGAAATTTTACATAACACCTGAAACAAAAACCAGATGCCCTCGTAAAAATTTAAAACGAAACATGTCCATTAGGTACTTGTATTCAGGGATGCGTGTAAGGGAGGGATTAAGGGGGTTCAAACACCCCCTATTGTAAAGGACAATTTTCAATATTTTCTCAAACTACTCATTAAAAATAATAGTTTAAAAAATTTTTCTACTTTTATTTGGTAGAAAAAATAACACTTACAAAATCATTTTATTGACATCAAATGAACCTCTTCCTTGTTCAAAAATATAAAATATTTGTTCTTCCCTCTCAATACTTTGGACAATACCCCAGGATCCTCACGTGTGGTATGCCTACAAAGTTAGCCGATTCTTTTTTTACGATAGGAAAATGTTCGCAGCTTCAAAATACTCTGTTTTATCTATAGCTATGAGATGGGGCATATCTACTATATTTTATATAAGGTAGAGGAGAAGATAACTTGTTTGTTTGGATCTGGTTATAAATGTTTTACATGGAAAATTTCCTAGAATTTTAGGGGTGCATTTCTAGGATTGCTATAAGATGTAATCAGTAGGTAGAGGGACGAGGGTGCACACTTTCTTGACATTCTGTCGAGACATACTGCGATGTGCTCTAATTTTGTGCAAATTTTTCGGTGTCTTCAGGGCTTTTGATATATTTTAATTTTGTAGACTGTTTTTTTACATATATTACTGTATTTTCTTTTTATTCACATTTTAATTTTTATTAATAATTTCATTCCTACATTTGAATCATGAAAGTTTTTTGAAAATGATTTATTTTTAAATAGAGATTTTTAATCAGTTCAAAAAACACCTTCAAAGAATTATAATCATTTGGAGATAAGCTCATATTTGATTCAATTATATATGATGTATGTAAAGGCTGAACCAGGATTTGATATGAAGTTGCAATATACTAGTTCTAGAATTTGCAATATCTTTCATAAACTAGTTCTCTCTATGGTTTTTGTAATCGTCACATTGTAATATTTATTAGAAAATAACTATTATAAAAAATAAAAGGTTACTAAATTTTACAAAAATAAGCATATAACTGTCAAAGAAAATTAAAATTATTTTCGATCAACAAAGTAATAAATATAAAATAATTTAAATAAAGTTGCAGGTTAACAACTGAAAATCTGCTCTAATTTAAATACTTTTACATAATATAAAATTAAAAAAGAAGTTATTTAATACATAAATGGAAATAAGTTATTTTAAAGTCAGTATTATTTTTATTGAAATTGGATTGTGAAGAAACTTTGCTGTCAGATAGAGTTCAAAAGTATGTACGTAGCTTCTATATCCAATCTTCGCATTTAGTATGTGACTTCTATATCTGACAGCTTATCGCAGATGCCGTGGAAATCGAGATGTATTTATCCGATTGGCTTATTTCAAAAATTGCTTTTTACTTGAAGAAACTAGAGTGGAACTTCTTCTCTTTGATTAAAAAATTGATAAAAGCAATAAAAACATACACTACTTTTATTTAAAAAAATACTACGAAAAATTGGCTTTCGCAACGCTCGAATAAGTCATCTGGGGAGAGACCGATTTCATGCCTTTGGCCCTTCTCTCTTCCCTCTCCTCCTCTTTTCAGTTGTATAGGAATGTACTACGATATTTTCCCTTTTTATTCAATAAAAAATATTTAAAATTTCCGTGATACTTTTCTTTAGAACTATTAACCATAGTTAGTAACATGTAGTTTTCAGTTCCAGATAATTTTCCATTTTAAAAGATTCTAATCTATGTGAATATCAAGAGAGAAACTATTCTTCCTTCCTCTAAGACTCTCCAAAAGCTAATGAAGGCATGTAAAGTGTTGCCATACGTAGAGAGTTCTGCTTTACGCCACCTGCAGCCCATTTCGATCGCCAATACCACATCCCTATTTTTTGGTGAAAAAATATTACGCATGGCAACCCTGCCCCTTGGCCTATTTCTGTCACATTAAGATATTACTACTAAGAAAGCTATAAGCAGATGTTTATTGTCTACATATATCTTTAAAATTGATACTTAAGATAAACACAAGTGCATGTTAAAAAAGTTAGTTATATATTTATTATTTTGAATAATATTTGAAATAAGTTATGATTTTAAGAATTTTTGTGCATACAAAAATGTCAACTTTTAAATATCTGTCTGCATAGTTAAATTTTCTTTGTTCTTAAAATTCTTTGAGTTAAATTCTCCTTTTTCTTTCATAGTTCTTCAGCCTTTTTCAGGAGATCCGTTTTTACACCAAGAGGGGAAGATATTTCACTCCTTGATGATATATTGATGGTACAGTTATCTGAAAGTAATCGCTACTGATCATTAAAAGCATAATAATTTACAAAGACATTTCTATTTCATAAATTTAAGTATTTCTGTTTATAAGACCTCTGTTAAATTTAAGTAAAGGAAAAAAAAATATTTTAATTGAATTGCATTGATTCTTGGGAGAATTTTTTTATTTTTGATAATTCTTTGTTGGTTTAGAAAACATTGTCTTAGTATTTAAATCATATTGCAAGTATACATATTTTAAGCAGTTGTATTTGTTGTGCATTAAAAAAATTTCATTCACTAATAACTTAGACAGAAGCTAACCAATTTAGATTGAAAAAAAAAAGGAAATATTTATAAATTATCAAGTTCAAAGGAAGGAACAATATTCAGTGCTGCTTCTGCTGGAAAAAAAAAACTACTGAAAATATTTTATATTTGCATCCATGTCTGCAAAAAACTCAATTTCATGTGACATATGTCATAAATCGTTTCGTCAAAAAAATTTATTGATTCGGCATTCTGTAGTTCACTGTAAGGAAAAGCCTTTTTCTTGCAATATATGTGATAAAAAATTTTCCTACAAGACAACTTTAACAATGCATTCTCATATTCACACTGGAGAATATCCTTATTCTTGTAATATATGTGATAAAAAGTTTTCCATGAAGAACCACCTGAACATACATTACAGAACTCATACTGGAGAGAAACCATATTTGTGTTGCATATGTAATCAAAGGTTTATAAGTACGAACTCTCTGAACCTTCATTTGAGATTTCATACAGGAGAGAAACCATATTCTTGTAATATATGTGATAAAAAGTTTACAAATAAGAGCTCTCTGAACCATCATTTGAGATTTCATGTAGGAGAGAAACCATATTCTTGTAACATATGTCATAAAAAGTTTACTTCGATGCCTACTCTCAGGGATCATAATATTATTCATACTGGACAGAAGCTATATTCATGTAAGATATGTAATAAAAGTTTTGCTGTGAAGGCATATTTAAGAAAACACAGTCGTCGTCATTCTGAAGAGAAGCCTTACTCTTGTAGTATATGTCAAAAAAGGTTCACAACTGGAAACAATTTGTACAGTCATCGTATGATTCATACCAAGCCATTTTCATGTAATTTATGTAATAAAAGATTTGCAATAAAATCGCGGTTAACTAAACATATGTCTGATCATTCTAAGAATAAAAAAGAGGTATTCTCTTGTAATGTATGTGATAAAAGATTTGCTCAAAAGCAGTATTTAGAGAGACATAATCTTATTCATATTAGAGAAAAAAATTATTCTTGTATAGTGTGCAATAAAGGTTTTACGCAACACAGAAATTTAATGAGACACAGAGTTGTTCATTCAAATGAATTACCTTATCCTTGTAATATATGCAAAAAAAGATTTTTGCTGAAGGAAAGCTTAGATAAGCATTATAAACTTCATACTAGCATAAAACCCTATTGTTGTCTACTGTGTAACATTTTCCCATCAAAAGTAATTTAACTCAACATAGTCTTGTTATTATGAATAATAATCATATGTACTGTCATATGCATAATAATCATATGTACAGTATTTAGAGTAAAACTTATGCATTAAAAAGTGGTGGGGGAATAATTTCTTGTTTTTACTCTTTCTCATTTTTGCTAATAGTGAAAATTTTCTTTTGTCAGTTGTTATCCGTAGTATATACTTTATAGCAGTGTTCCCCAACCTTTTTATCATCGCGGACCTGACAACGTTTCATAATTTTACTGTGGCCAACTAAGGGGGGGGGGCGTAGATTGTTTATATTTTAGATTATTTTGATTTATTAATTCTAATTTAATTGTATTTAAACATGCCTTCAAAATAAAATACAGTTACACCAAAAAACAAATATAAAGTTTTTTAACTTACTAGAACGTTAAATCAATGAGAATCCTGAGCTTGTTTCTGTGCAATGAGACGGTTCCCTCTGGGGGTAATCCGAGACAATGACACCCGAAGGGTGTTGCTTATGTCCAGGAATTCAAACTAANTATTTAAACATGCCTTCAAAATAAAATACAGTTACACCAAAAAATAAATATAAAGTTTTTTAACTTAGTAGAACGTTAAATCAATGAGAATCCTGAGCTTGTTTCTGTGCAACAAGACGGTTCCCTCTGGGGGTAATCGGAGACAATGACACCGAAGTGTGTTGCTTATATCCAGGAATTCAAACTAAGAATTTAACTAATCAAACTATGAACTGGGAATTTAAATTTAGTTTCAATGAAATAGGCGGCCCGGTACCATTTGATCTACGGACCAGGGGTTGGGGAACACTGCTTTATAGAATCTTCTATTTATCTGAATCATTTAAATTATGTTACATCTCCAACATTTTTGCTAATTAATTTTTTTATTTTTGCATTGGTTTTATTTTATATAATTAAAAAATTATTTGTTATTGCTTGCCTCTGAAAATATATGATTTCTTATTTAGATATTGGTTGGACCAGTCTTACTTTGGAGCAATTAGGCAACTGTTAAGGACTTTGCATTTGTCGACTTTTTAATGCTTATATCTTAAAAGTCATAAAATAGCTTTAATACTTTTCTTGGGGTCCCGTCTATTTGTTCTAAAACTTTCTTTCTTATCTTCCAGAATTTGAAATTTTTTTAAACATAAAAATCTACTTTTACGGATGTTGTAACTCTCAAATATCAAAATTGCACAGTAGGCAATTAATTTTCCTATTTTAATGATTTATTTCAAAATTTGAAAACAAAAAAGTTTTTTAATATATATATTTAGGGGATTATGCAATTCAAAAACATTCTAGTTTTTAAAAAAAAAATTTTTTTTTTATAATTATAAGAAATGCAAATTAATTTGTTATGGAAGTAACATTTGGTGTTGCGGATGTTACATTATATGATAAATAATAGATTAACTTTTTCAAAGTGGAAACCGTAAATAAATAAAAGATTATGAAGGAGAATGACTTATAATTAAGAATAAATAGTCTTAATGATTTTCTGAACATATGTGATAAACAAGAAAGCATTTTATTAACAAATTTTTGAATGAAACAATTACTTTTTGTACACATCTTTTATAAAAGAAATAATTATGCAAAGAAGTGAAAAGTTTGTTTTTTGATCATGTTGTGATTATATAAGAAGTAATTAATGTTGTATTAAATATTACTTAATTTACCATGACATAAAGAATCTTATAATAGGAAGAAATCTAAAAAGTTAAATCTGTGATAGGCTAGTCAGATCTTTTGAATATGCTCAGCTAGTATTTTTTTTAATCAATTATTTCTATCATTGTTTAAAATGTGCTGTAACAGAAATAATATTGACATAATGAAAATTAAATTTATTTTCTCAGATTTGTAAATAAATTGTCAAACGGCATATGATCTGAGATCATTGCATATGAATATATACCTCTTATAATGTATGTATTTGCTGTGTAGCTTTGTCATTTGTCCAGTGCGTCCCCCCCCCGCATAAGTTCTCTCTGTAATCCACCTGATAAGTAGCTACATCTTTTTATCTCGTATCTGATTTTTGCCTTCTCCAAAGTAAAGCTGTTGTTCTGTTTTTATGTACCAATGTTCAAGAAATAGAAATTTCTGTTAGGTTTTAAGCACTTTAATGTTTTAGTAAATTAAATTTAGATTAGTTTCAACTTTTTATATTATATCCTAAAAAATACCACTATTTTACAAACAATATAATAAAAAAATGTATTTCTTACGTTTATTTGAAGACAAATTTGGTAATTTATTAAAGATTTTAGGACTAATGACATACTAAGAAAAAAAAAGGTTAAAAATAAGAAAACTTAATTACTGGCCTCAGGGACCAGTGACTAAAAGATATCATTATAGTCCATTCCACCTTAAGTTGGCACTGGAGAGAAAGGTAGGTAGACTTGATTACATGGAAATTGGGTTACTCTTTAAGTCAGTACGGGGATGAGGAAGCAAAAAAGGGAGAGAAAATGGCCAGTATTGGCGTTTAAGAAAGCAAAACGCCAATTTTTTTTTTTTAAAACCAAGAATCGTACTAAATCTTTGTACAGAATACGGAAAAGAGCACAATTTTTTAAAGCATTTCTCTTAATTATTATTTTAAGATACTAGTTGTAAGCTGATTTCTTAATTAGTATTTAAGAAGCAGATTTTCTTATTATGATTTTTTAACTAAACGAAACTAATTTTAAACAACAGAAAAAAATATATATATTTAAAAAGATTCTTTTTTGCTGAAATCTAAGTAAAAAAAAGAAATGCATAGATGCGCATAAATACTTTGTTTAAAATATTTATTTTTATATGTTTATTTTTTGTAGATTAATGTACATTAATTTATCCCTCATTGGTGTTTTGTTGGGGAAGAAAAAGTCAACATAGGCAGGAAATCACTGATCATGAAAAATATCATACCTATGTTTTTTTTTTAATATTTACTGTTCTTTTTTTTTATAAGTAAAAAATTTAAAAAAAAATTTTCAGAAAAGTTTTTTTTTTACTATAAAAATAATTTTTTTCTGAAATATATTTGCTTCTAAGAGACAAAAGAGCTTACCTAAAAAAAATAATTAGTATTATCCACATGGGGGGCGTACTGCTTGTATGCCCCCCCCCCATGTTTTCAGCTGTCATATCCCACCCTCTTAGACTCNTATCATTATAGTCCATTCCACCTTAAGTTGGCACTAGAGAGAAAGGTAGGTAGACCGGATTACAGCCATTGTCATGGAAATTGGGTTACTCTTTAAGTCATTATGGGAATGAGGTAGCAAAAAAGGGAGAGACAATGGCCAGTATTGGCGTTTAAGAAAGCAAAACGCCAATTTTTTTTTTTTTTTTAAACCAAGAATCGTACTAAAATTTTGTACAGAATACGGAAAAGAGCACGATTTTTTAGAGCATTTCTCTTAATTATTATTTTAAGATACTAGTTGTAAGCTAATTTCTTAATTAGTATTTAAGAAGCAGATTTTTCTTATGATTTTTTAACTAAACGAAACTAATTTTAAACAACAGAAGAAAAAAATATATTTAAAAAAATTCTTTTTTGCTGAAATCTAAGTAAAAAAAAAACGAAATGCATAGATGCGCATAAATACTTTGTTTTAAATATTTATTTTTATATGCTTATTTTTTGTAGATTAATGTACATTAATTTATCCCTCATTGGTGTTTTGTTGGGGAAGAAAAAGTCAACATAGGCAGGAAATCATTGATCATGAAAAATATCATACCTATGTTTTTTTTTTAATATTTACTGTTCTTTTTTTTTATAAGTAAAAAATTTTCAGAAAAGTTTTTTTTTTACTATAAAAATATTTTTTTTCTGAAATATATTTACTTCTAAGAGACAAAAGAGCTTACCTAAAAAAAATAATTAGTATTATCCACATGGGGGGCGCATACTGCTTGTACGCCCCCCACCCATGTTTTCAGCTGTCATATCCCACCCTCTTAGACTCAACAGGAACTCTTTGAATAACATGATAACCATCTATCCTGGTGGTTATCATGTTATTCATTTAATATTTTAACAGTTGACAGTTCCTTCTGCAAACTCTTTGTGGGGTAGCCCTGAATTGAATTCAATCCACAATTTCTCATCAGGCGAAATTCTACTTGGATGGGTAGGCGCATTTCTTCAAAAGAAAATACATATTTTGAAATATCAGAACTTTCCTTTACTTTTCAGGACCTTTGCGGGTGAAAGGAGGCTTAAGAGAAAAATCCGTATAATTTGTTATTTAAGTATGGTAGAATTAGTTAGTGTCGAAATATTTTGTCAGATACTGAAATATCTTAATATTTTCTACATAAGAGAAAGGATTTCTCAGCTTTTTTGGCTTTGTATTTCAAAAATAATTATTAAAATATTGATTGGTTTAAATTAACCTTTCGATGTTTAAAAAAAATTAATGATTCAAATTTTGCGTCTTTTTTGAAATTATTTCAATTCCTATACATTTTATTAGTTTATAACTAACGGATTTGCACACTTCTATTATGGAAATTGTATTTCAGATAATATTTAAAAGTCCCTTTAATTGAACAAACTAAAAAGCTTAAATTTCTGCCATCACATTATTTAAGTTCCTATAAAAAGCGAATTGTACTTCAGAGCTACACATGGCGCAAAGTTTGAATCTTCACAAAGATTGAATAAAGCGAAAACAATTTTTACATTTGCAGTAAAAAAATAATAATAAAATCACATATTGAATTAGCTACTCAGCAAATATGCTCAACTGTCATCAGTTTAATAATATTCACCTGTCTATTGGGGTGTTTTTTTTTTTTTCATTCATTCTGAGGGGAAAAAATTGTTCATTAAATATTGTACAGATGAGGTTAATATTTAGAAAATTAAATAATCAAATACAAAAAGAGAGCGAAATAAGAACTGCACAAGAGATAGGACACTTAAGCAAAGTCAAGGAGAATGGAAAAGCTGGCTGCATACCTGCCAACTTTTAATCCCTTCCATTATGATTTTTCCCAGTGGTATTGAAATGGAATTAAAATTTCAATTTTAAGCAAAGAAATACGTTGTATTTGAAAAAGCTTAAGATGACGACCATGGGAGTAACACATATTAATATATATGCCTAATTTTTTTAAGAATACTGGTGATCAAAATCATTTAAAAATTAAGTTTATTAAAGTAAAGAAAATATGTATTTACTACCACTTTAAATATAAAAATAAAATTTTACGCCAAATGCGTAAAAGTTGGCAGGTATGTGGCTGGTAGAAACATAGCCAACGAGCCGATTCCTTGGCCTTGAAAACTAATTCAGCGCCAAACTAAAACACCTTCTTCTTTGTACATTCGCTTTACTGAGAAGGTATTTATAAGTTAAATACATTTAAACATGAAAAACTTCTAATGCATGTTTCAAGACAGACTTTTCTTACTATACAACATTTATTTATATTTGTACGCGCATTTAAACTGCAATTAATTCCAAAATAGCGAAGAACTACTTTTCAAAGGCGGAGTATT